TGCTTGGCCTGCTGTGTTCATCCAGCTCTACACCTTTGTTATCTCTATGGTAGGAGATAGACCTAGGATTCGTGTGCTTCCTATAGACTCTGTAGTAAATTAGGTCCTATTCATGTAACCTGTAAATAGTTGCAGTAATGTAATAAACATCTTATTGTTTACTTAGTAAGACCAATCTAGCGAGACCAGAAAGGCCTAGTCGGTGTTAGATGACAACAAGGTGCAGAGCTGGATGAACACAGCAGGCCAAGCAGCATCATAGGAGCAGAAAGGCTGACGTTTCGGGCCTAGACCCTTCATCAGAAATGGGTGAGGGGAAGGGGGTTCTGAAATAAATAGGGAGAGAGGGGGAGGCGGATAGAAGATGGATAGAGGAGAGGATAGGTGGAGAGGAAACAGAACCCCTTACCCTCCCCCATTTCTGATGAAGGGTCTAGGCCCGAAACGTCAGCCTTTCTGCTCCTATGATGCTGCTTGGCCTGCTGTATTCATCCAGCTCTGCACCTTGTTGTCTCGGATTCTCCAGCATCTGCAGTTCCTACTATCTCTGATTCAGTGTTAGATGACATCATGGTTTGAGAAAACCATCACAGCATGATTTCTGTTTCAAGAAATGGGAAAAGATCAGTTTGAGGGAAATGGCATTATGTGATCGATTACTTTCAAAACTAAGCATTCTAAGTATTAAAGAAGTTTAAAATTAACTTTAACTTTCATTCCACTATTTACTGCCCTTGTGATCAGATCATTATCTGGTATTGAGAAAAATATTACAGATGCTGAAACTTTGAAATAAAAGCAAAAATCCTGGAAATGCTCACCATATTTGGCAGCATCATCAATGAGAAAAACAAATTGTTAACATTTCACATTGATGCTCCTTCATATACTCCTTGATATTTTATGGATATGAGCAGCATACCTTGGTACATCTATGAAGAGCATAACAAAAATATACATTGTGTATGAACTCAATTTATGCTTTTAAGCTTTTGTACCTCTTCATACAAAGTTTTACATTGCACAAAACTTATCTTTAACCTACAGACAAGACAACACCTGTCTAAGGCTCAGCGGGGATTGACAGGGGAAGGAGTGTCAGAGATCATAAGAAAGCTGGCAGACACTTCAGAAGGAGGGACCAGCTACAGTGGAGACATTCTAGCTTTAATTGATATTTTGAAGAACATGACAGAAATCTTCCGCAGAACCTATTACACTCCTGTCTCTGGAGATATCCAGGTTAGTAGATGTGATGGTTGATTGATAGAAAAGATACAGAAGGTAAATTCCCTGCACAGTACCATTTTCAACCCAATTGAATTGGCAATTCACCTTTGTATCTTCATGACTTAAGTATGGTTTTAAAAGCAAATAATCATGAGAAAATGGTTACTGTCGTACTTCTGGCAAAATTACAGAGTCAAGATGTTGGCACATTCCAACTCACTTTACTTATTTTAGTCTATGGAGATCTTTCAACTGAGAATTGAAATTACAGTCCTCTAATTTACTGTTGTATCCAATATGTGTAAAACTGTTTTCAAGCAATGCTACTTAATTTATGAGTTTGGACCTCGTTCCAAGTGGACATGGAGCGGTGAAAGAACATTCCTATTTGAATTTAGCAAACATTCAATTGACTATTTCGTTCAGACAAACCCATGGAAATAGTTTCTGTGTAAGAAACAGAAATGCTGTGTTGATGCTTTTGGGACAGCGTTTGAGGCTCTGCTTGAGATACGTTATTGATGTACAATTGAGGAAATATTTTACATTTTCAACTTGGGCACTTGAATGCTGGTGTTGCACTCATGATTTTCCCTATATGAACAGGTGAATGTTTTCAGAAAATATGTATTTTTCTTCAACCAATTTTTCTTCTGCTTAATTATTTTTATACACACTTTGCTGGAAAAGCTCAGCTGGTCTGGCAGCATCTGTGAAGAAAATTCATGAGCTAACGTTTCCAGTCCGGTGACCCTTCCTCAGAACTGTTCTGAGAAAGGGTCACCAGACCCGAAATGTTAGCTCATGAATTTCAGATGCTGCCAGACCTGCTGAGCTTTTCCAGCAACTTCTGTTTTTGTTCCTGATTTACAGCATCCACAGTTCTTTCGGTTTTTAATTATTCTTATACTCTTCTTTACATTCCCTATTTGTTTTGCAGAATTTTGTTCAGATTGTGAGCAATTTGCTCTCAGAAGAAAATAAGCCGAGATGGGCAGAAGCTCAGCTGGTAAGAATTGAGTGCAGAATGAAGAATTTTAAATCAAAAAGCTATATTAAAACAATTAATTTTTTTTTCAATGCTTTCATGGAAGATCAATCCTCTGCTGTTCTTTACAATAGAAGCCATTGTGTGATTAGGTTGTTTGCATTACAGTGATGGATCTAATGTTCACAATGACAAATTCATTTTTTGACTTAATAGTAGCACAGACATCATGACAAGGTTAAGTCAAATATCTGACAAATTATTTTGGAGTCTACGATAATTGACTTTTTCCTAACCAGTGTCATTTCAAATTCAACATTTGAAAATCGGTTGAGAGACGGGGTAAAAAAGCATAGCCTGTGCAATGGAGAGGACAATACTTCTTATAAGTACCCCACTCTCAGAGAGGTTCTGAATGTTCATTAGTATTGATAGTTTGTCCATTGAATACATCATAAATAACTAATTAGATATGACGTATTTTGAGATGTTCTTAGAGATGGATTGAGATGATATTAAATTCATGATTGTTCTTACTTTTCTATCTTTTGCTCTTTTGTTCATCTAGTTCTTCATTCAAATTCATTGTTGTAGCAAAGCAAACATTTGGAATTTTGCTATGAAGGATCAATCCAGGAAATGTTCCTTTGAAGTATTGTAAACGCAGCAAATAGCTCATAAGATGAAGTGAGGGACTTTGGACAAAACACAGCTAAGTAATCTGAACGTGGGAGATGATTTCTTGGTTTTCCGTAGGGCTTTGACATAGAGGACAGAGCCTTCCTGGTCCCACAGAGATAGATTTGGAGATGGGACCACAAGCAAAATTAAAAACCTTTCTGATTTTCCAAACCATGAGTAACAGAAGTCCCAGCTGTAGCTTTAGGCCATTCTATGGAGGTTATCTCCTCCATACTGTTGAATTTTAGAAACCTTCAGGATCCATCTTCAGATCCCCTCATCATAGCTATTTGTCGTCAATTGTAGTGTCTGCTTCTCCTGGTGGAGCCCATGGTCTCAGGTGCTCTGACTGACCCTCCAATATACACAGTCTATCCATCATTTCTACTTGGATAGCCTTCCCATGGACAGCCTGTTACTGGCCTCCAATCCCACAGGACTAGGATACCATCGGGATCATGTCCCTGAGATCATCCTAATTTGGAAGCATAATGTAAGGGAAGGAGATTCTGCCCGTTCGGGAGGCTAACACTGAAACAACAAATCTGTTTATATAAAAGAAAGGCTTGGTCATCTGATATGGCTGTCCAGCAAAAGCATGTTAAATAGACAATTCTACTCTGAGCACAATTAACTTTGGTGAGGTATGGTGCAGAGTTGGGAGGCATTTACGTTCTACCGTACCTGCAGGACAGACAGAGTCTGAGGAACTCTGGGGGCTGAAGTTTCAGGAAAGGCACTTTAAAGGGATATTAACAATAATGCTTACTCTGAAACACGGATTGAATTCAATTTTGATTCACTGGAAAGGACTGCTTTGAATTTTAAATTTGTTTCACTGGTTTCAAAGTCTAAACACTGACAAGCAGTGCTTTAATCTGTTATTGTGGGAACAACGTGGTTAAAGAGTTTTGCACTTCATTGGGGAAAGAGTGCCAAAGGAAGAAATTGTTGACAATTGTCATATATCTGAATATATTCAGCTAAAAATTCTGCTGCTATGGTTACTATCATGGATGAGGTGGCTCAAAGTGAGGATGATGATAATGAGATTTTCGACTGTATATCTTCTGTAGTCACCACTCGGAGTGTTGCTTGGTAACGAATCAAAAAAGAGTGGGGTACAACTGAGACAGCTTCATCAAAAGGAATTGCTAACAAAAGTGATTGTGTTGGAAGGACAACAGTGGCCATTTTTTTTTCAGTAACACCAAATGATGTGAATATTTCAGATTAATGCCGAATTATTTCCGTTTACTCACAAGATGTGAATGGTACTTACTACCACCTCATTCCTAAATTCATTCAAATTATTTCTGTTTTCTCACTGGTTTCAGTCTTTTTAACTTCTAATTTTCTCCTATTCTTTCTCAGAGGTGTAACTCTTACTTCTGAACTTAGACAATCACAGTAAGCTCCTGAATTCCAGGGGACAATGTTCACAATCCCAGTCCTATTTTATCAGACTTCCATGTATGTACAGAAAATGTTTCATACTGATCTCCCCGGGCTAGGTACGGAAACATTGGCTTTGGCTCTGGCTTGATTAGTTCTAGAAAGTGTGTGTGGGTGTGGGTGTGGGTGTGTGTGAGGGGGTGTGTGTGTTATATTATGATTCAGAATTAGAAGTAATGCCCCTGCAGTTAAATAGCTTATCAATGTCCATTGTCTCGATTCACTCATGAAGAATGACTATGCTATTGGAACTATACTCCATCATGAATATAGCCTTCCAAGGGGTGGGGAGGGGTGCGTTAACGGTGAGGTCAGCCTGTGAAATGGGTGAACAAATTTGGGAAAAGCTGGGTGTTAGAAACCCAAATGGAAGAGTTATGGCGGGAGAAAAATTTATTTCATTCTGTTTCATTAATCAACATCTAAAAAAAAAGATTGTGCCTCAAATCTCATTCTTTGAGGAACACAAGGACAATGGCAATCTACAAAACGAAAACAAAATGAAGGAATAAGTCATTGATTGTACTGTAGAGCGGACTTTAGAACGGCATAACTTCTTGTTCACTGACCCTCAGTTTGGGTTGCCCCAGGACCACTCAGTTCATGGCCTTATTGCCATCTTGGCCCAAACATGGACAAAATTACTCAACAACAGATGTGAGGTAGGAGTGACTGTACTTAAAATTCAAACATCTCTTAACCAACTATGGCACCAAGGAGTCCTTGCAAAACTGGAATCAATAGGAACTGGGGGGAAAGATCTTCACAGTCGTGCCTTCCCTAAAGAAAGATGATTGATTATGGTCAATGGAGATCAGTCAGCTCAGCTCCAGGATATCTTTACAGATGTAACTGATGACAGATGATTTTCAAGATGGTGATACTGCCAAGGTAGGCACTGTTCAGGCTCCTGAACCCATCCGCTCCAGACTGGCTGATTCCTCCCTTCTTTCCTTACCATTTTTTGTCTTCTTTCTTTTTCTTTTTCTTCATCTTCTTCCCATTGGAGGTGCGGAGAAGGTGACATTGCAGAGGAGGGCAGCTGGAGCAGGACTCTTGGCGAGGTGGTGATGATCCTATATTTGTTCCTCTCTTCTCCTGAATTAGTTCATCTTCACCAGAACAGGAGAAAGATTGCCACAAAGTCCCACAGAAAGAAGGAAGATCAAATGACATTCCACTTTGTATAGCATATATGTGCAGACTTCCTTTAAGAACAGAATTAGACGGACATGGTGGCTTCCACACTAAACTTGACTGATAACTTGATTGCAATACAGGTAATCTGGTGATATGATAATGAGATGGAACCACACATTGCATGAGACAAGGAAACAAAATGGTAGAGGAGGAGAAATGTTCCACAGAATTGCTGAACTGGTCATTGTTATGGTCATCTGTAGGTCCGAGTTTCCATTCTGTACTTCCAAAATGGATACCTGGTTGTCAATTAATTCAGCATCTTTTTAGATGCTGTTGTCTCTTAAAATATTATGTTGTCAGTATGTGACTGCAATAATTCAAATGATGTTCCATTTCATGTTTCAGACTGGGCCAAACGCGAAAGAAGTGATGCAAACTGTTGAGAATTTTATTGACGTTATTGGCTTTCGACTGAGTGACTTCAGGGACTCCTATCTCGTTACAGAAAACCTAGGTGTGCTAAGATTTCTTTTCACTTCTAAAATATGTTTCTTGAAATTGATACTAATTTTCCACTTCATTCCACTGCTCTCTGCCACTGCCTGTCACTGCTGCCAATAAAGATAATCCAACAGAGTATCTAGGACTAAGGCAGACTTACAATGTGTTACAAAGCTTCCCATCCATCTTTACATTAGTTCACATCCCGTGTTCTGTGATTGTAAATCATTCATCTCCTTTCATTAGTCCTTCACATAACTGAACAGTTAAACTACCAAAAGCCTCCAATTAGAATTTTCAGCATGTCTGATATCAGTTTTTCAGAAAGGAAATAAGAAGAACAAAATTACATTTATAACACCATTCAGAATCTCAAAATGTCCCAAAAGCTGGTGCAGACAATTTAATTTTCTGTGGTGTAGTTATAATGGCCCTGTAGAGAAACTTGACAGCCAATCTGCATACAGGAAGGTGCCACAAACAGAAATGAATGATCATGCTTTTATTGATTGAGGAATTAACGTTTGCCAGGACTTTAGGAAAACTCCAGTCTCCAGCTCTTGTTTGTAAAGTACCAATTGATTTTAATGCCATCAGAGTCGGAAATGGCTTCTGTTTAATATCTCATCTGAAAAATGACACCTCCTGTACTGAGCACTCTCAGTGTTGCAATCAAGTTCCAACCTGAAATATTCCTGTGACTCCGGATGGAGACATTGGTCTGTGGGTCTTCCCCTACATACATAATTGGGGTGGTGATGTGAAGGCAGCAGGATTTCTATCTTCTACTCTACTGCCTGATTAAATTACTCCCTCCCCCACCACTGCACCTTCTGAGTGGGGATTAACCTTATGATTTTGAAACTCAAAATGAAGATGCTATCACTGAGCCAAAGTTTACACCCCAATATGATCTCTGCTCTGGTTCTGCTGGTGAATGCACTATGTAGGATCTATAGCAGATCATTCAAGCCAACCGGACCATGTCACTATCTATGATCAATTTCTTTTTTTATCATTCATTCACGGGATGAGGGCATCGCTGACCAGGCAGCATTTCTTGCCATCCCTAATCGTCCAGCGGGCAGTTCAGAGTCAACTACATTGCTGTGAGTCACATGTAAGCCAGGCCAGATGAGGATGTCAGTTTCCTTCCCTAAAGGACATTAGTGAACAAGATGGGTTTTTCCGACAATTGGCAATGGGTTCATGGTCCTCATTAGATTCTTAATTCCAGATATTTTATTGAATTCAAATTCCACCATATGCTGTGGCGGGATTCAAACACGAGTTTAAATGTTATCTGGGTCTCTGGATTAATAGTCCCATGATAATGAGTTCCATACTCGTATCATTCTTTAAATAACTTCTGAATTCCCTATTAGGTTTTTTTGCTTACTATCTCATATAGATAGCTTCTAGTTATATCCTTCCTCACAATTAATACTAGTGTTTTAGACTCAGTTAGGCCGACTTTAACGAAATGAGACAGACTGTCCCACAGTAAACTGGGAAATTCTGCTAAAAACAACTGAAGAACAGCAGAGGATGTTTAAAACAAGGTTTAACACAATACAAAACCAACTTATACCCCTCAGAGGGAAAAGCTCCACTTCACAGAATGAAAATGGCCATGGACAATTAGTGAGATAAGGGACAGCATGCAAAAATGGAAAACAAAAACAGCACAGATTCTGCTTAATGGACAAGACAGAAAGACCACCAAACGGCCACAGAACAGCTTAAAAGAGTTACTAAAAGGGATTAGGAAAGGAAACTTGCCAGGGACATGAAAATTAATAACAAGAAATGTTGTACTTACATAAAGGGACAGTGGATGGTCAGGAGAACTGTTGGCCCACTAAGTGGTGATATTGTCGATGACTATTGGGAAATGATAGGCATATTGAATAATTAATTTGCCTCTGTATTTACAGCAGAAAGTGGGGATAGCTTGCTGGATGTCCTGAGGAAATTAATAGTTGCTTGGGAATAGGGAATGAGAAACATTAGCAGAAGTAGAACACTGATAATGAGGAAATTCATGGAATTAAAGAGTGACAAATCTCCAGTATCTGACAGTTTCCATCCAAAGGTAGTAAAGGAAGTAACAGAGTACTTTGTAGACAACCTAACCGTAATCCTTCAGAGTTCTGTAGATACAAGAGTTGCCCTTCTGGATTGGGAAATTGTACATGTCACTCAGCTTCTAAAGAAGGGTAAAAGAATGAAACCAGGGAATTACAGACAAATTAGTTTGACATCTGTGGTGGGAAACTAGCTGCTGTCTGTAATCAAAGATTGGGTAACTGAATACCTCAAATTTTTAGTTAATCAAAAGCGACACAGCATGGATTCATGACAGGTAGGTTATGCCTGAAAAATCTCATGAATTTTGGGAAGAGGTAACTCAAGGAGTAACAGGGAATGTCAATGGATTTTGTTTATATAGACTTCCAGAAGGCATTTGATAAAGTCTCACATGCAAGACTGTTAACTCAGGTAGAAGCCCACGGAGTTGAGGGAAAATTACTGGCAAGGCTGAGAAATTAGTTGAGTGGTGTGCGATGGAAAGTTGGGATCACGGATAGGTACTCACATTGGTAGAATGTGATCAGGGTGTCCCACAAGGATCTGTGCAGGTCCTCAATTATTCACATTTTTTATTAATGACTTGGATAATGTTACAGAAAGTCATATACCCAAATTTTCTGAAGACGTAATATTAGATGACAATGTAGACAATGTAGATGATACATTAAAATTACAGAGGGATATTGATAGACTAAATGAAAGAGCAAAACTATGGCAGATGCAGTTCAATGTCAGCAAGTGTGAGCCTATTCATTTTGTACCAAAAAAGGATAGATCAATGTACTTTTTAGATAGTTTGAAGTTAAATACAGTGGATGTCAAAAGAAACTTAGGGTTCAGGTGCATAGATCTTTAAAATGTCACAAGCAGCTGCAGAAAATAATCAAGAGAGCTAATGGAGTGCTGGCCTTTATATCTAGAGGATTGGAGTACAAGGGTGAAGTTATGCTGCAGTTATACAAAACCCTGGCTGGACCCCACTTGGAATACTATCAGCAGATCTGGGCATCACGCCTTAAGAAGGATATTTTGTCCTTGGAAGGAGTACAATCTAAGTTTATAAGAATGGTACCTGGACTTTAGTGGTTATGTTATGCGGATCGATTATACAAATTAAGACTGTTCCTCTAAAATTTGGAAGGTTAAAGGGTGATCCAATTTAAGTCTTCAAGATACTATAACGAAAAGACAGGGTAGATAAAGATAAACTAATTTCACTGGTCGGGGATTGTAGAACTAGGGGTCATAGTCCGAGAATTAGGGCCAGACCATTCAGGAGAGATGTTAGGCAGCACTTCTACATACAAAGGTTGTAGATGATTGGAACTTTCTTCCACAAATGGCAGTGAACGCTGAATCAGTTGTTAATTTTAAATCTGAGGTAGATAATGTTTTATTAAGCAAGAGTATCAAGGAATATGGCCAAAGACAGGTATATGGAGTTAGGCCATGATCTTATTGAATAGTGGAATAGGCTCGGGGGGCTGAATGGCCGACACCTGTTCCTATGTTCCTAAGAAAATCTGCATTATTCCATAATTTTAAAGAGTTTGACGAGGTCACCCTTTAATCCTTTGACAAGAGAAAAACAACCAAGTCTGTCTATACTTTCCTGACATTTAAGACCATAAGACATAGGAGCAGGAATTAAGCCATTCAGCCCATCGAGTCTGCTCTGCTATTCAATCATGGCTGATAAGTTTCTCAATCCCATTCTCCTGCTTTCTCCCTGTAACCCTTTATCCCCTTAAAAATCAAGAAACTATCTATCTCTGTCTTAAATATACTCAATGACCTGGCCTCCACTTCCTTCTGTGGCCATAGATTCACCACTCTCTGGCTGAAGAAGTTTCTCCTCATCTCCGTTCTAAAGAGTCTTCCCTTTACTCTACGGCTGTGCCCTCTGGTCCTAGTGTCTCAGACCAATGGAAATACCTTCCCAACACCCACTCTGTCCAGGTCATTCAGTATTCTGTAAGTTTCAATTCGATCCCCCCGCATCCTTCTAAACTCCATCGAGTACAGATCCAGAGTCCTCAAATGTTCCTCATATGTTAAGCTTTTCATTCCTGGGACTACTCTCATGAACTTCCTCTGAACCCGTTCCAGGGCCAGTACATCTTTCCTGAGATATGGGGCCCAAAGCTGCACACAGTACTACAAATGTGGCCTGACCAGATCCTTATAGAGCCTCAGAAGTACATCCCTGCTTTTATATTCAAGTCCTCTCAAAATAAATGCCAATGTTGCATTTGCCTTCCTAACTACTTGATTCAAACTGCAAGTTTACCTTGAGAGAACCCCGGACTAGAACACCAAGTCACTTTGCGCTTCAGACTTCTGAATTTTCTCCCCATTTAGAAAATAGTCCATGCTTCTATTCTTCTTACCAAAGTGCATGACCTCACACTTTCCCACATTGTACTCCGTCTGCCACTTCTTTGTCCACTCTCTTAACCTGTCCAAATCCTTCTGCATACTCCCCACCTCCTCAATACTACCTGTCCCTCTACCTATCTTTGTATCATCTGGAAACTTAGCCAGTGAATTCCATATGTACCCATGGGCTTCTGATATTAACCTTGCAAATCTTCTCTGCACCCGCTCCAGGCCCTTCACATCTGTTTCCTAATATGTTGAGTTTAGTGTGACATTAAATCAACATCCCAGAGCCCCTTGATGTTCTGTGCTATTAGCTTCTCTGTTGTAGGTCAGTGCCAGGTATTCCACATTAAGCTGAAACATAATTGCTATGAATAAATTCTGCTCATTGAGAGTACATAAGTTGGTATACTACAGGAATTGTATGCCTGCAGTCAAAATTCACTTCCTCATATCACCACAGACAGATATGAAACAAATTGAAAATCATGGTTACTCAATGGAAACAAATATGGGACAGAATCATGTATGGGTCTG